AATACAGGGTGTTTCATATTGAATGGGACAAAAAGAATAGCGCAGTGTGACTGCCATAACGGATTTATTCAGCCGAAACAAATTTATTCTGAAACTACAATTATATAAGTTTTATTTGGCAACAGGGAAAAATCATCGAATGACGAACTCGCCGCTAGAGGCGCTGCTAAACAAAATGTCGCACATGCAGGAGAAAGCGTACTGCTTTTTCGAATACGCCAAAACCTCCTCGGTAACTGTTGTGCAAAGACATTTTCGCACGAAAGTTCGTAAACAACCGCCGCATCGGCATAACATAAGCAGGTGGGTGACGCAGTTCCAGGATACCGGCTGCTTATGCAAGAACAAAAGCCCAGGACGAAAAGAAACGATACCCGAAGTGGTAGAAAGAATTCATGATTCGTTTTTACCGAGTCCCTCAAAATCAACGCGACGTGCAGGTGCAGAACTGGTTGTCCCTCACACAACGGTGTGGCGTGTTTTGCGGAAGCGTCTCCAATTCACGACCACAATGTAATAACAATGGAATAACAATGTACGTGAGTTCCTGAACGAACGTCTACCCCATTGTTGGATTGGCGGTGCTGGGCACAGGATTTGACATGTCTTCATTGGCCGGCGATATGCTATCACGAGTGTGGCAGGAGCTTGATTACCATGTAGACATTTGTCGTGTCACCGTAGGGGCACATATTGAACACCTGTAGAAACTTGAATTAATGTAGTTTTGAGATAAATTTGAATTTTCTGTACATTAATTATAACGTTTACAATCATGTCTTCTTTTTGTCCCATTCAATATGAAACACTCTGTATATAAATATATGTGTGGGGGGGGGCAAAGATTGCTAATTGAAATTTCAAGATTTGTCTAATAATAGTTTTTAACCTCTTTACAGCTTCTTCCAGCAATTAAACAGGTTTTAATAACTTAAATCTCGTCTTCGACTTTCATGTTTCGTACTATATGAACATAGTTTACCTTGCTGAAATATTAATTTGTAACATTATATGTTTGTATTTTTAACCTTATAATTTTTGAAAGACTAGTGTATAATATATGTTTGTAAAAGCAATATCACGCGTTTCTATGATATTAAATGCTCTCATTTATTTCTTGTAAACTTTATTTATAATTTTTTTTTATTGTGCTATTATTTCAATAGACATAGACAAATGCGTGCAAGATCTAATGGAAGGCAGATGTCGTGGAAAATATGAGATTTGCAAAGGAGGTGAATGTGGTTGTGAAAATGATTATTTGTACAATATCAGCACAGGATGTCGAGGTAAATTATTTCTTTAATATGATTTTTCACTGACAGAAATAAGGATAATTAATACTCCTTATAACTTGTTCCCAAAATAAAAAACGAGCCGCCTAATCTTTCGATCGAAGAGATCCTTAGATATAACAAATACATTGTACTTTAATAAATACTTGTCTCTTTAAACATTTTAACTCAGGAACTATTTGAGAACGATAAGTAATGATTTGTGTGTCTGATATAGCATTTCAACTAATAGTTAGCTGTAATTTATTATTAACCATTAAGATTGGAATTAGTCTCGTGAAAATTCAATCATTGAAAAAAAAGATACTGAAATAAATGCATTATTTAATGTCTTATTTTTACCAAATTTGTGCAATATAGCAGATTTTTGTTAAATATTGCTGTCAAAGGAACACGTCACTATATCAGGAAGCAGCTTGGAGTTAAATTAGTACTTTATTTTCAAGCTGCCTTCTTACTGATATTTTTTTTTATTATTTTGTAGATTGACGAAGCATTTTTTCAAAGAGAGGGGCCCAATAGACAGAAAAATTTCGTTTTCTGCATTTGCAAAAATATATAAATAAATAAAAATTCTCATAAATATTTTTTTCTACCGTGAAAATTTTTTCTAGGTAAGATGATGAAAAATTTCATTCTACTAAATATCGGACAACGCCCTTAGTCAAAAAAATATCAGTGCTGGGAATATCGAGCAATGTGATTTAAGTGCATTCATTATTACCTTTATCAAAAGAAGTGTTTTTTTTTAAAATATTTTCCGATTTGACTGTGAGAAAACATGCAGACCACTGGATCGGCAGTTCTTAAACTGATATGTAAGGTTAAAGGTCATTTCCAGATTCCCTTACCTGGTATTCCATGCACCAATGTTTTTTTTAAGGTTTGAGACCATTGTCCAATTTACATAAACTCATTATTCACGTGTGCTTTTAAGAAGAAATCTAGATCCGCTTAGGGGCTCTCTCTGTGGCTGGGGGGATGAATTTAAGAAAGGAACCGTTAATCCCCAAAACAAGCAAGGTGACAAATGTTAGTGAATTTTATTCTCATTCTGTTATTCTAAAAATCATTTCTAATATTTAACACCGTTGCAGTTGGATTAACGTGGAGTGTCACAATTAGCGAGGTGTGCCATATTTTATTGATTTCAATTTTTTAAACAAAACATAATCCTAAAAACCATAGTGTCCGAAAAATAATTCATCATTCTAGATATACAAAATATTATATATATTTTATAAAAAGAGAGAGTGAATTAAAAAGAATACTAAAAGACAAATTTTCTTTCGGTAATTTCTCAACGTATATATATATATATATGTANATATATATATATATATATTACAACAAGGTTACAAGCATTACTACGAAACAGAACTCTTAAATAATACAGTTTCTGGTTATAACGGTTTAAAAAAAACTATATACCTTTCAATATTTGTTTGAAACTATATTAATAATTAAAATCTGTATCTTGTAAGTTATTTTATAGAATTTCTTATCTATCTCACACTTGATTTCTATTAAACATTATTTAAAGATTTTTTTTTGTTCTATGAAACATTTTTCATGACATATTTAATAACATATATAAAATGGTTTTTTCATATTTTTCCGCAAAAAAAAGCTAAAGAGGTGTACGGTGATCATTTTTATAAATATCTATATTATACATAATAAATATTTATAATATTTCACAAAATTCAAAGAATAATATATCTTTGGAAAGAGCATAATTATTTGCAAAAGAATATATTTTTGGACTAGCATTTTATAAATGCACAACTTGACATTGTACAAATTCACAAAATTTCGTACAAGCATATTTCCGCGGCATTCCATTTCCTGCTAACATCTTTAGGGTACATAACAATCTCTTTCTCGAAATTTATAATTATTTTTTATATTTTTTTAAATATGTAATTTGGTGTATTTAACACAAATATAATAAAGCAGAATATTTTATTTTGAGAGTAATTTTCAGAAAAAATATTTAATTTTAAATTTCGCACAACTATATTTTCAGTTCCATTTCAATAAATTTATTTCTTCTTTAAAAGGCTATTTTTTCTCAGAATATGTTTTAAATTTTTTTTTTTTTTGCATGGAATGCCTATGTTTAGCTTATGCTATAATGTTTAGCATAGGTTATAAAGAAAATTCCTGTTAAGTCTCCACCGACAAGAAAATAAATTTTACTATCAGGCATCTAAGGCACTAATTACGAACATAATTTCGCAAATATTTATAAAATACTATTACACTTTAAAAAAATAACAATAAACATTATTTTTTCTGCAACGATAATTTAAAAATACCAATGAACTCATTATTAAAAACAAGAACTTGAATCAAAATTTAAAAAAAAAAAAAAACACTTATTTATTTACATTACGTATTATACGTCACTCATAATATTTTACTTTGAAAAATACATAATTTGTAAATATTTATTTATAAATTATTTTTTGAAACATTAAATTTATTTATAAAATTAAATTGTTATTTGTTAAATATACTGATGCGAAGGAATTGATCTTTTATTATTTTTTGAATTTAGTGAAGATATGCTATGCAGGGAATGAATATTTTATAGTACCAAGATAAATAAAAAAAACTCAAATTATATGAACATATAAGATAACGAAAGCAATATGTTTCTTTGCACATTCATCCATAAACTCTTAATCAAAATTAAATATGCGTTTTAATTTTCTAAAAATATTTTTCTTCAACTTTCCTAATGCCTCCCTTATGTCTTATATTATGAGAAAAATAAAACTATAATGAAATAATGGGTTAAATAGTTCTGAAAAACAAGCGTGGTCAGGTATTTAAATATTCAATTTTAAATACGGATGTTTAGTGCGGTATATCAGGTCTTAAGATATTTTAAGATCTTAAAAAAATTTGGCTACGTATTCGCCAACTCTATATGTTTTGCAACTATTAATAGTGATTTAAAATATCAAAACACCATTTTATATAATTCATGTAGCAACAGTTTGATTCAAGAAGGTATAAAGATACTTTTTTCCAAAACTAGTATCTTCCCTCAGTTTGTATTTAGTAAAATTTATTGGATAATAATATAATATATCAAAATCTCTATGAACACTTATACACTTTACTGAAATCAATTGCGGAATGAACCAACTGAAAGATTAAATAAAAAAGGCAGATTCATAGCAACAATCAAACAGATACATGTTTTTTATAAAACTTGTAAATATAATATTTTGTTTCCAAATCTCTTAGCTAAATCAAATATAAATTAGACTATTTAAAAAGAAACATCGTTTTTTGAAAAATAATAAATGAATAAATAAATGATATGAAAAATGAAAAAATTAATGATAAAATTTTTTTAAAAAAAAAAGCGGGGTAGAATCAAAACAATGAAACAATGAAAACCCATGAATTAAAATTGCGCTACGCTTGAGTTAATCAAGTTTCTTGTAGAATCTAAGAAATGGAATTTTCATTGGCTTAGCTGAAGATATGTTTTAAAGTAAATAATAGATGATTCAGTTTTTCCGAATATTTTATTGCTTTATATTTTATTGTTTGTCTAGCTATAATCATAAAAGTTGCATATTACGCGTTCTGTAATGCTTAATTTTTTTTAATTCATCATGCGCAGGCTATCTGAAGGATCAATGTGATCGTGCAGCATGACGCAACCTAAAATAAAATTGCTAAGATTATCAGAAACCACGTGATTGGCTTGCTTATAGATATGCTCCTAAAACGTGTACCTATGAAATTAAATGATTTAAAATCAACAGTAATTGAAAAGAAATATTTATACTGAAAAGCAAGATTAATGTAGAAATAGTAATGGTTTGTTGAGGATAAACGTAAAAAAGAACCAATATTATTATTTAATTGACCCAAATTTTAACAAACCATGGAAATTTTAAGAGATATTTATTTCGTTTCCATCTGCAGACCACTGGAATTTGTGCTTGCGGTGATGCTGAACATATTCTTCTTCACTGTAGTCTCTATGCGAGTGCCCGAATGAATTTGAAGACTGATTTGAGACGTCTTTCAATTAGTTGGCCACCTGTCTTATCAGAACTGGTCAAAAGTATTGAAAGTCTTGCGGCCTTGCGGAATTTTGTTTCTAATGCAAATTTGTAAATTTTTTCTCCTTTTGTTTTTTACTTACAACTGTAAGCCTCATGCTATACTTTGTGGTGCATGAGGAGTTTTAAGTCGTTTAAATAAAAATTAAAAAAAAAATTAAAAAAAAATATTATTATTTTTGCCAATTACGAAAAATTTTGATAATACTTACTAAATGAAGCAAAATAATAAGCTATGTACAAAAAATCTAAAATACTGAAGAAATAGAACTAATTCCTCAAAGAGTGCATAAAAGTCACTCTATTATTAACGTCAATGATATTTGGCCAAATTTGAAAATAGGTACTAACTGAAATAAAACATGTAAAATTAATGGAGGAAATGTGTTGATAGGGAAGCATAAAAAGTGACCATAATATTATCTCCAATACTTCATTTTGGTATTTGCACTCCTAAATCGTATCTGATATAGTTTTAATCGGTACCCAATATACTCTTATGTAGATAAAAAGTATTTAATGTGTAAATTTGGTGCCTATTTTAATTGCACCAAATCTACATTTTTGTAATAGATATTGCATTTTTGTGATAGATATTTTTTTCCAGCTCTTCAAAGATATAAGTACAGGTGAAAGTAGTTTGATTGGGGTGAATTTAGCCTGATATGAGTTGAAGAAAGAAAGGAAACAAATAATAAGAAATAAAAGAAAGCAATTAAATTATTTTTGCATGATTATTTGAGATGATATTTGTCTACCAGTTTTATGAACGGTTTTGTAGTGACCAGATTTATTGATTCTTCTTCCCCCCATATGAAGAACTGGTAATCAGTTGGTAATAAATGATTAATATAGGCTATTTTTTGCATGAAATGAACTTTGGAAAAACTGGTAAAACCAGTTGGTGCATTTTTTTTAAATTACTCAATTAGTTTTAAAGATATGAAAAAACGCAAAAAATGAAATTAACATTAAGGGGGGTTAAACTTTCATCCGATCTCCTGACTAAACTTTAAGAGCCTCAATTTCCAGATTACGGCTATCCTCTCTTCCTCTATTTCATAAGTGAAAAATCCAAATATGCAAAAAAAGAAAAAAATAAATAAAAAAAATACGTATTTGTTCAGAGAAAATAAGTTGTGTCTGATTTCGCAACTTAATTAATAATTAGCACTAATTGATTTGCATGTTGAGGTAACTCCAAGAAACATTTCAAATTGGCCCCTAGCTCGTGAAAATCTGGATATTGCCAGTTATTGCGGGTATTTTTTTATTTTTTTTTATTTTGAGCACTTCACATTTTTTATAATAATATTTTGAATTCTAGTTTGTATTCTTTTTATATTATAATATTTATTTTCGTTATTTTTGGTAGAGACTTTTGAAACATTTATACTGTTTTAAGGAATCGCAAAACATATTTCTTATTTACTCTCTGCAGTTAAACTTTTTTTTTTCGTTTAGGTCATAATCAATCTTTAAAAATTGCTGAAATACTATTAAAATTACGTATCGATATTTGAAATATTATTTTTATTTTTGTCAAACTCTTCTTGCTCATAGTAATTATACAATAATTGTAATTTGTTATTCACATTTTTTTAGAAAAATGCACGTGTGACACTGTTACCCAAGATTGTGTTCATTCAGACAATGGCAAAGCTACTTGTATATGTAAAGATAAGCACTATTTTACGGGAACTAAGTGTGTTAAAGGTGAGTAGCAGCTGATGGCTTATAAATATAAAATATATTTATAATTATCACAAGCATTTAAAATATGAAGTTAAGATACACTGTTTCTTTTTAAAATCTGAATATATATTCTAATTTTAAATGAAACATCCTAATTTTTATTTCATTTAAATGGAAGCTGTAATGTTACTTTATATCATACAATGCAACTAAAAATTATACTGTTTTTGAAAACGAATGCAAGAGTTTTCTATAACATGTGCCTTTAACCCATTAATGTTCATAAAAGGAGCGTAATCAATGAAAAAGCACCTATATTAAAAAAGCTGTAGTACATTTCTATATAGATACAAAGAAAAGAAAGTTTTCTGGAAGTATATTGTAATAACTCGAGTGAATCGTGGTGGCTCAAGGAATAGAGCACTTACTTCCCAATTTGATGACTGGTAGATATGAATTCCGCACACGGCTCACACAAACCGCAGGCTGACAAAAAATATTTTCAATGGTAGGCGGATCATGAGTTAGAGTCCCCTTGCGCTCAGGCTAACTGTGGAATGGTGTCGTGGTTTTCCTCTCTATGTAACGCAGGTGCCGGTTAGTTCCATCAGAAAGTGCTCCACGAATTTAAATTTCTTCCAATACTTGATCCAGAAGCTCTCTTGTCCTTTGAATTGTGTTCAAAATTACAAGTTTGATTTTCTGAGTGTATGATTTTAGAGCTCGAAATACTTGACATTATACTTATTTAAAAAGGCAGACCAGCTGGTCACCGGAGGCTGCTATTTTCTGACTCCAATTGTTTGATGAAGTCAGACAAGATTCATTGGATAGTTAACCTTCAGAAGATCGAGAACCAGAAAAGGAGAAGCGTATAAGTCTTCTCTGGAAAGATCCTAGCAGTCCAGTATGTATTCTGCTGAGGCCGGCTGAGCTTGACATTTAGAGCAGACCTCCTGTTTTCAAAGAACGAGAGACTTTTTTGGGTTAGCGTAGTCATAAAGAGGAGGTGAATACAGCTCCTGTTGCTTTGAGGAATTTGAGAACCATAAATGTAGAAGTCTGGCTTGGTTCATGGTGGTAATTCTTTTAGTATAGAACCTACCTGTCAAACTGTCCAGCTTAGGAGCTCCTACCAGTAGCAAGTTGCTGCAGGCGTAGCCCTCCGGGTCATTGGTACACGCAAGCTTTTCCTCCCAGTCAAGGCAAGAACACCGTCGACGAGGGAAGCGGCTAGTAGTTATATAATCCAAGTGGATATTTCTCTCCATTATTTACCACTTCAGCTTTAAATGACTTTTGATCTAAATACGAATATCTATAATATTATTATATTATGATAGACCGAACTAGCTAGTTTCTGCAAATTATATCCTAATAAAAAGCTATTTGTGTAACCAATTTATTTTTGAAAAAATGAAGAATGGTCCTTTTATAAAGACGTGAGGCTGAAATGGATTAATATATATTGTTTATTCTTCGTCATTTTTTTACAGCAATCAAACTAGTTATGATGTCCTTAGTTTTAGTTTCCTGCTAAAATAATTGTTGAATAAGTCTTTTGTCTAAATGAGTGTAGGATATACTTTGTACTACGCGTGAACAAAAGTAACAAGAATAAAGCACGATCGAAGGCATAAAAACTGACATAATAATTTCAGTTCTATACGAAAAATTCTTCCTACGTATCGAAAAAAAATGATACATTAAAACAAAGGCAAACAAGATGTAATGAGAAAAAGGTGCTTTAACCAACGGAAAAGAAGGAATGTGTTAAGAAAAAGTGGTTTATCGATAGAAGAATCGAAGCAAGTTTGAATAAGTATAAAATTTTTTCTTCGTGTTTGAATATCTATTTTAATTTAATTTCCAGAACTTGAACACCTAAAGGTTCTCAACTTTTTCCCTAACACTTGTTCTTTTCTCCATTCTTTTTTTTTTGATAATCTTGTACAACTTGCTCGTGCTTCCGTACTATCCGTGCTTTCACTATTGGATAAAGCACTTTTTTCCTTGCGGCATCTTGTTTGCCTCTTTTTTTAATTTTATTTTTATTTTTTTGTATTCTATTCCTTATATTTCTACAATTTTTTTAATTATTTTTTGGCTCGAGTTCAAAAACAATATTAGAGAAGTTGAGATAAAATCAGGTATCTAAAGTTCGAAGGTCTGTAGGAGCTAAACTGTTAGACCTAGAAACTGTATGATTTAACCAAAACATTCATTGTCATAGATCTACTACTTATTTTTATAAATTATTTTTTGTAGAAAAAGTCAAACCTCTCAGATTTAAACCAGCGATTGTATAAAACTGAGTACACATGTTAACTCAGGGGAAAATTTAGAAATAGTTGAATTTCAGTAAAAGAGTAAAAGAAAATTCTATTTTATATAAGATTTTAAGAAAACTATGCATGCAATTTACATGTCACATGGCCAAAGCAATACTCAAGGTTGGGGAGAGGAAGATAATGACAATTACCCCAGGTCTCGGGATGGCTTAGGGCAAGACCAAACTTTTTTGCAAAAATATGGTGTTTATTAATGTTTTTTTTTAAAGAAAATGACAGAAAATTTCTGTAAAAACTACTGTTTTGCAGAAGCAGTCTTCAAACATTCTACAAAATATGAAAAGAGATCTTTTCGTGCTTTGAGTATGAAGCCCACAGAGCTCTTGAAATCCTTGAGTTTTGTTCAACATTCGATGTAGTTGTCTTCTTCCTCCATTGCACTGCCGCTCTCGTGGGTTCAGCATAAGCACACATTAAGGGGGGGGGAGGACACTTGTCCGAGGAGTACCCGTTTTATCTCACAAACAGAAGCTTTCAAAACGAAACAGAACACTACTACTTGTCAGGCTAAATCGTTTTTGCTTGTTAGAGTATGAATCTTTAGTAAAAATATAATAATTTGGACTAGAAATAAATTCTCTAACTTTAATGACCAATTGAAAAAGGCAGTTTAAATACAAGAGTACATAAGAGAATTGTTATAGCCCTCGTGAAACACTCCAATATGGTAGGTCCAACTTCTTGACTAGTAAAGTGCATTTCAGAGTTTGACCACTTGGAAACCGAACTAATTTCTCCAAAATCTTAGTACCCATTTAGCCCCATTACTCAGTTTCACAACACAAGATCATTACGGAATACCCTGCAGTCATTTTTTTTTCATATCATATAAAGTATGGTAAATATGTTCTACATTCTTTTCGTACATTTCTTTTAGAGGACACTTGTGCGACAAGAACTCCAAAATGTGAACAGAAATGTAATGAAGGAACATGCTCATGTGATGCTCAGCATTATGATGTGAAAGATGAACATCGATGTGGTAAGTGATCCTAACATTTTCAACACTTAAAAGTATTAATCTCAAGCACATTCTGTTGCAATGTATACAGCATTACGCTGCAGAAATAAGCTTAACTAAACTATAATAATTTAATTTTATTTGAATTTAATTTGAGAAATTTTTTATCATTGTTTGGTCAATTGTTTTGTTTTTAACTAGCTGAATACCTGTTCTTTGTGCGTGATGAAAAAAAAGTAAATAATCAATAAGTCGGTCTTAATCAACTCTATGAAATAATGCACAAAACTGACATTTACAATACAATTAAGATAAAATAAATCCAAATAGTATTCTGTAACTGTTTCCTTTTCCAATAGCTTTAATCAAATTAAGCAAAATATATTTTTAGAAATTCCATATAAAGGTTTATTATATTCAATGTCATTTAGCATAATGCTATTTCTTAAAGTCAACTCCTGATAGTTAAAATTTGCCATAATTTACAATTATATCAGGTATTTCTCCTTTGGCCGTAAAAACCTATTTTCACAATATCTACACCGATATAAGTGGTAATATTGGTATTAGCATGCATATTTAGTAGCAATCAAATAATCAATTAACATGAAATCAGTAGTATTTATTATTAAAATTAATTAATCATTTACTACGATCACAATAAGACAATTTTCATGGGTTTCCTACTATCCTTATTACGTATACATAGATATACCTTTGTCTTGCTTTTTATTAAAAAAACCCTACTTTTTAATTTCACCCTGTACCTACTATCAAAGTTAAGTAAATTTAATTCAAAGAAATATATATTAACATCACTAAAAATTTTAAAATCATTTTGGCGAATGAACTAATATCAGTGCTTATTTTGATGTCCGTAAGAGTTCGCCATGATATTATTGGCATCGCGGAGATGCTTAATTAAATGAGGGTATTAAATAGTACTGGTGTTGACGTTATAAGTGCTGTCGTAATGAAAATAAGTACTGTGGCAAAATAGATGTCGAATAAAGGTACTGTTTTAATAGGTTTTTTACTACCTTACGAAAAGAATAAGTATCCCAATAATAACATACAACACATTCATAGCCCCAATTTCGCAACCTTTATTTTTTTATTATACGTTGCATAATCCTAGTTTTGCTTTATAACATTAAATTCACTAATTACTAAATTAAATTTACTATTAATTAATAATAATAGTATGAGGAGTTCAACAAAACAAAAGAAAGAGTGACAATTCATAAACCTATGATATTCAGAATTTACCACAATTTTCCCATGTCTCAATAGGTAACTTTAATTTAATTTTATAATTTCTCATTAATTTTCATTGTAATTCTTATTCATTTATTTATTATTATTATTTATTTATTTATTTTCCCATCCTATGTCGTTACGTTATTATTTTAGCTAAAACAAATTTTAAGAATTGTAACGCAAAAGATAAATTATATTCAGCAACATTTGTCATAATGTTTTCTTTCGAGATTAACCATAGTCGATAGTCAAAAATTTTGATAATCAGCAATTTCCTTCGGTGCTCATTCTTTTCAGTCTGCCACAAAAAACTTATTTCTACTGTATCTACGGTAAATATTTTATTTTTTATTTATAGCCAGCTTTGAACGGTCTCCCCAATTCCGAGTTTACCCTTATCGCTGTTCAACTCCGAAGATTTGTAATTTTGAACCCAACCAGCTAGTTTTTTACGATGTTTAACCCAGAAACTCATTGGTTAAGCATTGGGAAAAACTAGCTTTCGTGGTGGAATTTTTAAAGGAACTCACCCGCATTTGCGTTACACGGAGAGGAAAACAGGAAAAAAAAAACACACGGCCAGCCCGACGGAAAAGGGATTCTAACCCCTGATTCGTCTATCACTAAGGATATTTTACGTCATCATAATAGTCAGTGTCATACAGCAGATATAGTTGTAAGTTATAATATGCATTTTATTTTCAGTTCTGAAAGATAATACCAATCCGTGCAAAAACAGTGCTAAATGTTCGCCCGGGCAATGTCTAAAAGAAGGAGATGTTGAGAGATGTATTTGTCCAGAAAAAACACATTACTCTTTTAAGGAAAATTGCACTGGTAAAAAAAAATTTTCACTGTATTTTGTTATTTTCTTGTTTATAAATTGTAAGACTTTTTATGTTTAAGTGTTAGTATTAAAGTAATTATTTCCTTCTAACTATTATGTTCGACAGATCATCGAATGTTTTTTTTAACTGAATAATAATAAAAAAGGAGAGCAATACATCAATATATAATATATAATTACATTACAATATTTTAAGAACAGCAGTTTGTTCATGGCTTTTGTGTTATAAAGCGTTTTTATGTTATAAAGCGCTTTCTTTTTTCTTTAGAAAATTATCAGACGAAATTCATTGCCATATGTGTAAAGTGGTTTTATTTTAATTAAGTTAAAAATATGTTTTAGGCATGCAAAATTACTAAAAAATTGCTAATCATTTAATTCGTTAATTTTTTAGCATTACTTATTTTTAAGTGATATGAAGATGGCAATACTAAATATAAAATAATCTATTATGAAACACTGTAAGACGTTAAAAAAAAACATAATAGGAAGGCGAAAGAAATAAGTGAAAAATAAAATAAATAGAAATTAGAAATAAATAAAATATATCGAAAAAAATATTCTTTGTTATCCCAAAAATATTTTATTCTCGTTCTGTAAAACCCTATTTTTCGTTAAATAGACTCTTCTATAAATGTTGTCTTTTATGTTATATAATCTGTATGGTCCTCACTTGTTTATAAATCGATCAAGAATTTCCATTATAAAAAGTATTTGGGAGCAGAGCAAATTTGCAAGAGCAAAACATTAGGATTTTAGATGTGAAGTCGTTTTTAAATCCACTCCCATCCAAATATTCTGTTTTCTCTTCGTTTTAACAATAGTATGACATAATACTTTCAACAATAGTAGAAGTCATGAAGATCTGTTCTTAACATCACTAGTGTATTGTAAAAAATGGGATGTATTATTTCTTCGAGCTCAATGTTGAACAACCCAAAAAGTTATGAGAAGGAACATTTTTTTCTGTAAGTAAACATCCAACTGAGCTTTCATATACAGTTTAAATGCTGTATAAAAGCTTTAAACACCTAAAATGTATAACATTTACAGATCATGCCTCTTTACACAATATTTCCCATTCAGAAAACTCCATTATTTGCTCGTTTTGTATGTAGTTTGTAATTGTTAACAGTCTATAACGAGTTACCGTGTGCTTTTCATTGTCTTCTGTTTGTGTGAGCCTTTTCATCTATAGAAACTAAAGCTGGCCTTTAAAGCATGTATGCATGCTTTTGTAGGGTATTAATGATATTTATATCTTAAATTTAGGTTTTTGTAAACTATATTGAATAATTTTATAATGAGTAATTTCTTTCCACTTCCGTTCTGTTAAGCCTCATTCGAATTCGTCTTTATATTCTCTCTGTGCTACACGTATGTTTGACTTACAGACTAATTTTATTTCAAAAATTAGCCTATGAATGTAACCTTAAGTAATGACTCTTATTTTGTATTGTCACATAAAAATAATTTTAATGATTTTTATGTGCATCATATATCTTAATGAAATTATAAATTTTAGTGTTGCTGAATAACCAAAACTGCAATGGCTACTTTATAGCCAGTAGTGTAAAAGATCATGCTAGGTGTTTCACTGCACCATGAATTATGATTGCTTTTTAACGTAGTGGCACTTCGTAGAATAATTCTTAGGTGTTACGTAGTTGCGTCAATATTTTTGTCTTTCAGATACACGAAATTTTCCACTGCGCAGTAATGTAAGGAGGACAGAAACTATAACTTTTAGATTTAAGTAAACCAGTGCAACCAACCAATATA